ATATATTGGAAATGGGTAGATAAATAAAAGTAAAACGCAGTGAATTAAACTTATCCCTTATAGTTTATTAATTTGATGTACGAGGAAGGACCGTCTTTACTCTCCTGATTGCTCCAGGAGACTGAAGACTATTCACAAAGACGAAACCAAAAACATCACCTAAAGACAAAGAGCACTCTGTTCTATATACATATGAAATCATTGTTTATCTAATGGTACTCTGGCGAGACTCTCGGCGTCGATTCGTTTTTGTAACTTATATGCTAGAAGGAAAAACTTCTGAGTATTCAAAAGAGAGAAAATAATCCAATGAAATACAACGGACAGAGTTCCGAGAGCACCAATCGTGCCCGTGGCTGATCTTCGATCTCCCGATCTTTCGAGCGCAACGGCTTTGTCCCGACGCATAGTGGAGTATTTGACCCGAAAGCACAGACATTTTACGATTTTAAAAATACCACCTAAACTGTCAAATGTTTGTTTGGCAGTCCAGTAAATTCACCTTATAGTCCATGTTAGAGGCTTGCTTACATTGTGTCCATTTCCTATAGCCATGTGCGCTATTCCTACGCCTATGCTAAGGTTCGGCAGAGTCAGTCAAAAGCACGTGATGCGGCAATTTTCATGTGTAAAAGATTAGAAATAAAAAAGTTAAGGCACCGTTTTTTATTCTAGCATTATTGTGTATTCGTATTGATGTACACCGATATGCTGGTCGCTGGCTTTTAAGTTTGCCGACTGCCCCGAAGCTGCGGGGCTATTAGGGAGAATTTACTGTACTTCCGAAAGAGATTGCCGATCAACGTGGCATTTGGGTGATGTATAGGAGAGGGGGAGAGGACAACAAATATAAAATATTAATTTCGAACATTTAGTAGTTTTCAAGATATTCACAAATATCTTTTAATCCTACACATTAAAAACAACGTATACAGATTTCACCAACACATTCAATAGTGTCTATCCTCTCTCTGACGTTATTACCCATGTATCTTCATTATTGTAGTTTCAACTATCGCGACGCGATTATGCTTCCACGATTAAGCGTTAATTATGCTTCCTGGCGCATATCGGTCCTCGGACTGATCGTGTTACATTCGTAAAAGCTTTACAATTAGAACGGAAAAAGAATTGGTCCCGGATTCGTTCGAATTCATGTTTTATAGTCTTAATTTAGACGATTCTACTTCTTTGAAGGAACTGTGTTTAGATACTTTAGATTATAGGCACACGTACACACGTATAAGATGTTAGATAAACTTTTAAGACGAAGATGACTGACGGTTAAACTGTTTGAAACATTTGTAGGGAAGCCTTTTTTGAGATAAAGATAATTGTGCTTCATATTGTTAATAAAAATTATTTTGAAAATATATAGTATTTTACATATTATAACGTAAACAAATCTTTGCAGTTTGTAATTGTGTAATTATATAAATAAATATATAAATAATATATAATATATATGTATAAAATAAATAAAATATATAATAATAAATAAATATCAAGTAATTCTTTCAAATTAATATGCTTAAAAAGTAGGAAGTGTAAATTTTAAAATGGTCTCTGGTTCATTCGATGTGGACGAATATTAACAATGTTTTGTGAGTTTAAAGATTGCGTTTTAAGATAGACGTGTCCGTCTTTTTGGGTCAAATACCCCACTGTGCGGAAGGATAGTGGTCGATTCTGCCAAAAAACTAGCCGAAATATGAAAACGATCTTAGATAAATCACAGAAGTTAATACACATATATGTAGCGGTTTTTGAGGTCGCTGTTTATGATTACAGATATGTTTCAAAATTTCAAAAATAAATTGTTAAAACTGTAAGTAAACAAACGTATGCGCAAATAGGGTTAATATCATGCTTATAAGTTGAACATAATCGTAAAAAATGTAATCGCTACTGTAATTTAGAAAAAAATATCTTGATTTTAGAGTTACCGTAGCTTCGAGAGCAAAGGGTTCAATTTGTCCCAAAATCCCCCGTCAATAAGATCGAACACTGCGGAGCGTTTCCGATCGTTTCTCGTCCCGATGATCGAGGAACCATCGTCGACGCCACATCGTTTCTCGATCATCGGAAAGACATCTCGCTCCGCGGTCTTTTTTGCGTCGCGTTTCGCGAATCTCAGCAAGTATCGATTGCCCGGTTGCGGAGCCGGGCTGACGTAATATCGGTTTTATCGCGACCGGTCGTGTTGGTTCATCTTCCATTTTTACTTTGGACGATACACGATAATCCGTTTTGTTGTTGCAGTTCGCACGGATCGAATCGCGAGGAATCGCGTCGTCGTGTCACGCGAGAGTTTCACCGAGTCGATCCTCTATTGTTGTTTTTTGTCGGTTCTGCAGGATGGTGTTGGTAGTGAACGGGGTCCTGCAAGAGGACATCCCAACGGACAGCAGGTCCTTGTACGCGGCCCACCCGGTCTACCGCGAAACCGCGGCGCAGCTTCACTCGATGCCCGCGAAATTAGTCGGGCCGATGGGTCTTCTTTACGTCCAGCAGCGAGAAATGGCCGCAACTTTGCCGCAAGACAGTAAGTACACGCAATCCGCTTCGGCGCACAGTGTAAAATTTTTTATATTTTATTTAGTAGAAAATTAACAGTGCTCTGAAAATTGCCTTCTACCATCAAAATTATTTTAGCGTTGTTTCAAGGATTCAAGCTTTATTATGTAGTAGGTCGTTGGATTCGTCTCGATACCAGCATGTTATAAGTAATTATATATATCGTTAAGTGTGAAAAGTATGTATATTAATATTTAAAAAGTCTCGGTGAAATCTTCTGTGAATAAAATTTTGTTTTGCAAGTTTTTATGTTTTAGTTTGTAGAAAAATGAATATCAACCAACTGCTGTTCGAAGCATTTTTTTTTAGATTATTGGAAGTGTCTGAAATATCGTGGTTTGTTTTGAAATCGGATGCGAGCGTTTGCTGACGAGCGCACTTACCGCTGAACTGCTTACCCAGGCTTCGAAATTACATACTGTTTACATTTATTTGTTAAAATTATTCTACTCGCGGAGATTGCAAGAGGCTGCACCTAAACTCTTAACAACTCTTTAAAGTTTTTCGATGCTTTGCTCAGACTTTGAATTGTTGTAAATTTGACGCTATTTGTATATGGATTAAAAAATGATCAAAATTAGATTTAATACTTCAAGTGCACCAGTCAGTATGTTCGAAACCGCCGTTAAAACCTGTTTTCTAATATTTTATAACGGATGTGTGAAACATTTAATTTTACTTTGGATTTTATGATTTTGTATTTAGAATGCCGTATCTGAGCACAGAGTCATCTCAAACGAATAACATGAGAGCTTTAAAGTTTTCTCAATTTTTTCTGAGAGTTTTTCTTTTAAAACTTTCTCAGTTTGTAGCAAAACGAACTTTTTCGATATATTACACTCAAAACGTTGAATTTTGGTCACAGAGAGCGGGTTTCCAGGTCACTGTACAGTGGGACGAAATGACTTGCGACCAGGAATCTGTAATTATGCTTCTATTTTACAGTCATGTCAGTAGAAAAAGTCCGAGTACACCTTTTAAAAGGGAATAACTTTTTTTAAAAATTTCATCGAAATCTACAGGCATTGCAAGATGTACATGTATAAAACATTTTCTCATCAGATTATCGCAAGTATTCGAAACGTACGTAAATTGCATTCGTCGCATATGGTCGCAATTCTTTAAAAAAGTTTAGAAGTCGAAATTTTTGTTCAGATAATTCCTTTAATCTAAACACTGTTATTAAAGAAACTATGAACATTTTATTGCAATGTATGCATCTATTAACATGTATATAACAAAATATATAACTAATTTAATCCTCCGTTGTGACGCCTCCTATGCGAAACACGTATGTTATATTGGGTCACTCAGACACAGTTCGGTCTTCAAACAATTGTCACTTAAAAACCAAGCAATACTATTGAGACCCAAAAATTAAAAAATACAATTTGAACATGTTAGAACATCGTCTCCTTCTTTAGAACTTGATATCTCACTTCCAAGTATATTGAATTAATTGTTAATTTCATTCTTCTGATGACAATATAACTTCCTCGAAAAAGATATGGAACATTTTGAGCCAGTGTGACAGCGGAGAGTTAAATTAGAATTTCTAANTTGTTATTTATCATTTGAGGTTGTTGAAAATTATTTAATCAATGTTATCAAGATCCAGTTGCCATAAATCATCTAGAAGGTATGCTGAATACTTCATAATATTTAGAATCCCTATTTTGAAACCTTCGATATACGTTTCTACGTTGTATCGACTTTTTCGATACAGTAAAGTCTTCCTTATCCGAAGGTTTATTTTTCAATATTTTAATATCAAAACAATCTATTTTTTAAAAATTTCATTAAAATTTTCTACTAGCTGATAATGTATCTAAATAATACAATGATTGGATAATAGAACGTTTGGATACCAAAATATTATAGAAACGAATGTTCGGACAAGGGGATTTCTATCGTCTTTGCAAAATGTTCTTTCAAACTTTACCTTTAATATTAACTCTCCGCTGTCACGGTTCCAATGCGACACATGTATATCATATTCGGTCAGTCAGATCCAGTTCAGTTTGAAAACTGTCACTCAAAACTAGCAGTACTATTGAGACCCAAAAATTTGAGAATATAATTTGAACATTGTAGAATATGGTTTCCTTTATTAGAACTCACTAAATATCTCACTTCCAAGTATATTGAATTAATTGTTAATTTCATTCTTCTGATGACAATATAACTTCCTCGAAAAAGATATGGAACATTTTGAGCCAGTGTGACAGCGGAGAGTTAAATTAGAATTTCTAAAGTAATATTTCTCAAAATTATGAGCTAAAGTAACGGAACCATAAAAATCTTGATGACGTTTGTGAGTGACTGTAATTGTGACTTTAATTATCGATCACAAGAAAACGAAGGCAAATATTAAGAAATAAAGTTCATCATATAATGATGTAATTAGTTGTTTCTCAAGTAACACCAATCTTTTCCTAGTTTACAATTTTACGAAAATCGATTTTTGATTCCTGTTAGATCGTTTCGTCAGACTGTGCGGTATCTTTTTTGCTCTGGACACGTTTGCATCGGCTTTACTGCACTATATCCTTCTTTCTTTCAGAAAACGTGAGCATCATCGGATCCGACGACATGACTACCTGCATCATCGTCGTGGTGAAACATTCCGGTAAGCATTGTGATGTTCAACACTGACTACAGCTGTTTCAGTAAGCTTTAAAGCACGATATCGCGCAGTGACTTGCTTGCGGTATTTTGGTAACTCTGAAAATTATGTGCAGAAGCTAGCTAAGGGAGCTATCTAGTCCTTTGACTGCATGCGCTAACTTGAAGCCATAAGCAGTTTGCAACGCGATGTTTGCACGGCATTCGCCGTGGCTTGTTAAAATAATATACAATGAAGTTGTAGCTGCAGTGAAGATAAGAATTGCTTTGTTATGAACAAGAAAGCATCGAGATGTTTATAAATATTAACTAACACTCGTTAAAAGACTCAAAAACACTCCAAAAAAATATTAATGAAATATTTTGAACATTTAATGGCTTTAAAACATGCCTACATATTTATTTAAAAAGCGAATATTGTTATTTGCATTGTGCGAAGGCTATAATTATTAAAAAAACATGTAAAAGAAAGTGAAGAGAATCAAAAACAACTTAAAAATCGTGTGAAAAGCTATGTGAAACTATTACAAAGTATTAAGACGGCGCAAGGGAGTGTGAAAGGTTAGCAATGCAATATTAATCAAATATTTAGCAATACAACTGAGTATGTTTAGGTTCGTTTATAATTTTGTTCACTAACTTCTTTCAAAATATTTTTGGAGGCACACATTTCTGTTAGTTTTTCTATAGACTTTGATCAGAGTTGAGGGAGTAATCAATTATTTTGTGGCAGCGGAAAGTAATCATGGTAATCATGATCATTAGTCAAATTAATTGTTACTAGAATAAATCAATAATCATGATTACATTTAGTAATCTGTAATCATTAATTGGCAATCTGTAATCACGGACAAATAATTAATTTACTCTTGCTCATCGCTTCGATCGGGTCTGTACGAGGGGCCCAAATCCTTATGAGGATTTAGCCTGTATACATAATAAGATGTATGAAAAAATACCGAGTAATTAAATTACATTATTTACGAATTACGATGTAATTGAATTAAAATTATGAATTAATAGAATATAATTATATTATATATAATTATATTATATATTATATATCATAATAAAATTATGAATAAATTTACAATATAATAGAGAAGAAAATACGTAGAAGAGACAAAAAATGAGTATACGAAAGAAGAAACATGAGAATGTATTTCACTTTCTCAGAAGTCTGGGCTATAATTTAAAGGACTGTATTTCAATTACGTCGTATTTCAATTGCATTGCATTTGAATTACGCTCCTGATTGAAATAATTAGTAGTTGAATTAACTGAAAGGTTTGAATTATGTAATTGAAATACAATGCAATTATATTGCCAAATTGAATTGGCCCAACTTTGCTCGTCATCTGGCAAGTTCATGCAAGTGGATTTCAGTAGTCGCTAATAGATTGTTTGATGCGATTGCAGGTTCGGGTGCTGCGGCGATGGCGCATCTTGACGGGGCTGGTACCGAGGATGCCGCGACGGCGATGGTCCAAAAGGTGACCGAACTGGCTCTTGGCTTCCCAGAGGGTCGTCTGGAGCTGCAATTGGTCGGCGGCTACTCCGACCCTAGGAATTACTCCGAGGAATTGTTCTGCAACATTCTTAGTAAGTTGAGTTGACCGTCCGGCGATGACGCATAGTCTTTATACTAGCCTAAGCGTGCGTTTATGGTGGTGCTGCGATGATAGCAATGAGATGATCGATTGATGCAACGAACTGAACTTTCGAGCAATTGAGGGTAAAGGGGAATGAGACCTGTGTACAAAATTCTGTTTGCTAGTCTTTGTTAATTTTTGAGATATCAAATAAAAAAGAAAATTTTTATTAAAATAACAAGTTCAAAATAATAGGCTCATCCAGAAGTTCGTGCAGTTTTAAGTTTCGATCTACATTTCCCGTATAATAATTGCAGGAAAATTGTTATGCTTCACACGTCATTCGGTAGTTTTTGTTTTCTCCTGTCGTGCAATTGTTTACTCGTTTGTTTCCTCTGCATAATAAAATAATGAATCCTCTGAAAATTATGGAGTGTCAAATTAAGAAGAATGAACACCTCCAACATATTCTGCTGCACGATTAAATTGTAAATGTTCAGCCTTGTTAATTTGATATTTCACAATTTTCAGAGAATTAATCACTTTGTTACGAACTTGATCATAAACCGAAAATTTATCGTCGTTGATGGTATTTGAACTCTTTTGCGTTCTAAATATCCTAGTAAAATCAGTTTCAAGCGGAAAAAGAAGAATAACATTTTTTCATTTAATACTGCGTTTTTGAGAAAAATTAATTAGAAGATGCGCTAAGTTCGCGTGGCATGTGATACGACGAAGAATTGAGCATGTAGTAAGAAGTAGAATTGATACGTCATGATCAGACGCGTCATTTTAAATGTATTCAATAGTATTATTTTTCAAAATAATTTTTCTCGCAAACAGGGCCTTAAATGAAGAGATAGTAGTAGTAGTATATAGTATACAATACTATATAATATAATATACAATTATAATACTATACTATACTATATAATATAATATATATATATATATACTATATAATATACAATATAATATACAATATATATATACTATATAATATAATATACTATATAATATACAATATAATATACAATTTTATATATATAATATATAATAAATAATAATATAGTATATTTTAATCTATTTTTATATGATATAGTCTATAATAATATATTATATTTTATTACATAATATAGAAAATTATAAATGCATAAATAGATAAATATAATCAACTTACAATTGGTTAAATTTTCACACAGAGAGGTCCATATTTAAGTAAACGCAGTGCCCAAAACTGTAAAAATACGCAAAAATGTCCACGGTTATAGTTCGATAAGCATTCGAAACTTGAGCGTTTCGAGCAACAGGAAGTGAAACATTCAGACGGGAAAACGGTTTGCCTTTTTGTTTGTAGTGGCGTTTCACAAGCAACCGGTGGAAATCGACCTGACTCTGTGCTGCGTGGGCGAGCTGAACACCACCGTGAGAGGGGGGATTCACTGGCCGGTGATCTATGGTATCGGTTTGAACGTGAAAACCGGCGAAATTTTCCCCGCTACCTTCCCCGACAAAGGTCCCGATCAAGCGCTGCGATCTGCCAGGCATTTGACCGGAGGCCAACAGGTGCGTGTGCGTGTTTAAATACAGTGCGGTGCCTAATAATTGCATCAACTGATCTTTAGATTATTTTTGACAATGGAGTAAGAATGCAAAAACAGTCATCTACGTGAGCTGAAACAGTATGAGAAAGAACGAAGTTTACATTGAATCTCATCGAAATTGCTGTTTTAGACGAAACGATTTACAGCAAATTCTTTCTAATTGATTGCTTAGATTGTGCACAAAAATGGATAATTTGGGAAGAGAAGATATGACTATTCGAGTCTTGCGACTCGTTTTTATATTTATTTATATATTTTATTGTATTATTATATTATTTATATATTTTATGGTATTATTATATTATTTATACATTATTTTGTATATTATTGTATAATATTATATATTATTTTATTATATTATTTATTATTATTATATCAGTATTTTTCATTAATAACTTATAAACAAAGTCGAACATTGCATTTTCGCTAAGGAAAAAGTTACTTCAAACGACCTCAGGAACCACTCATTTTCCGACTTTGTGTAAAAAATAATAACATTTCAGTATACATTTTCCTGTGTTTTGACAGGAAATTTCGATAAAATCCTTCTGGTATACGTCACTCGTCACTGGACGACGGATTTTATGCATTCATGACAAAAACAAGTTGATGAATCACAAAACAGTAAAAACATTCGAGGAATTTCAAAAAATACTACTCAACTATTTTCAACTTATCAAAATGATTAAGAAATGAAATAAATATCTACATAGTTACTGCATCTTGTAATTAGTGCACTCAACTATTACTTTATATAAAAATCCGCAGAGTCTAATCATCATACCCGTTCAGCTGACATAGATTTTCTCGCATTCTTACTCTAATCTGTAAAACAACTAAAAATCCAGGTGATGCTGTATTTCTGTAGCGCGCTGTAATTCCCGGCTTCCGATATAGCCGCAATCGAGAGGAGTAAGTTGAAAACTTTGTTAATTTCCACGCAGGTCCTCGACGTTTACGACTGTACGCTCGGATTGCTGCGGATCGGTCCGTTCAACTACGATCCTCTGCGGGGAGTGGACCTCTGGTTGGCTCAATCCGATCAGTTTATCCTGCAGCACCTGTCGACTTCGCCGGAGGTGGAACCGCCACACTTTGTGTCACAGGTAGGCAACCCTTTTGTACCTTCCGTAGAAGCCTTTTGTTCCCGTAAGTTTCTCTTTGATCCGAAACAAGCAACGATTCAAACCGTTCCCATTGGTTTCAGGTGCGCGCGACGCTCAAGTACATCCAGGACAATCAGTTCCCAGCCGTGACCGTCTTCCGAGACAACAGACCTCACTACTACCGCCGAGACGAGACCACCGGCGTTTGGCAACCTATAAGATATTAACGCTGCCTGCCGTTTCGCTCCCTCGTCGTCTTTCGCCGAATCGAAGACAAAAAAGGGCAGTTCGCGGAATTACCCTGGTGATAGAAAATCCAAAAATCGTACCGCGAGCCTCCTAAGAAGAATCAGCGCTCTCGCAAACTAAACAAAACGCGCCCGTGCCTTGCGTTTCGCCTTTCAATCTTGTCCAGCATTGTTCGTCAAAATGATTTGTTCGTTCTATTTTTCTCCGATTATTTATTATTCCCGAGGAAACACGCGAACGGCTCGCCGCGGGAACTGCTTTCCTGTCCTTCGCTTTCGCCCTTCTCCCTTCGACGTGTATAATAATGTTCGCCCTTGTTACTTGTATGCGCGCACAACGATAACGATTACGATTACGATTATAAGAACTACTCGATCGGATCGTGCGTGCACGCCTCTCGCCGATCGACTCGCGGTTGCCTGGGAATAACAGGAAACAGCCGTTCGAACGATCGTATCGTTACTGTTTAGAATCACTTCGAACGGTTATTGTTAGGTATCACGGTAGAGTAAGGGTTAACGATCGCCGGTTGTTAAGTTTCTTTTGCTCTTGTTCTATTCTACCACCTGTACTTTCTCCTTCTCTCAAGTTATATTTAATGCTAAGTACGTACGCGCGTTGCGATTCCTCTTCTCTTTATTTTTGTTGTTGTTCCCCCTCCTTTCTCGTTCGAGAAAGAATGCGGACACCATTCCGCGCGCGTCGACTCGCTGTTTCGATCGTCGACGCGCGCTTCCATCGAGATCACCAGCGAATTTCTTGTTTCGAGCGCGCGAACGAATCACCGGTGAATTCACGACGCGCTATCCTGTTCTTCTCCTTCCTATTCGCCTTCTCGATCCGGACCGTTCGCGCGACGGACATACCGTACTTGCCATAAAACGGGAAGCAAAACCGAAGAAATTAGGGAACGATGTAAATATTATAACGCGGAGTCTGCACACGAGAACACGGAGAAACGAAGGAAAGCGCGTTCGGAGCGGCACGCCCGTTGCCTGCTCGCATCGGTTTTCCGTAACGTCGCGTCGTTTCGTACGGCGTCGAGACGTATCTCGAGGAACGCTCTCGTTTGTACGCTCCATCCGTTCTCCGTGCGATTTTGTTACGTGAAACGCTTCGACGAAAGTGAGTTTCAATCAAATATAGAAAATGTTGAGGATAAAGAAAACCCACACGAAAAAACGAGATCATGTTACGCGATGTTATTTCTCACCCTGGATATGAAATTACGACCGATCGGGAGGAGTCACGGGTCCGTTTTTGTACGAGCACGCGGCCACGCGCGCTGCTTCCGATCGCTCCTCCCGCCCCCTTCACCCCCCCCCCTCCGCTCTATACACGAACTGATTAAACTTGATACTAGTTGTAACGATTCTATTTCTTAGAAACTTCAAACAGATTTATCTATTGTATACATACACGTGTATATTTTTCATATGTTATGAAGACAGCGAAAAGCATTCGTAACGAATTGCGACAACGATCACGACGAAGACGACGATCACGGTGAAAAGATCTGCATTCTTCGCGGTCGAACGTTGGCTAGGTGTCGGTTCTCGCCGATAGAAACATTTGCGAGCAGAGCGAGACGAAGGAACGTGTTTGTTAAATTCGAGCCTTGTTTAAAGCGTTTCATCGTCCTCTCGTCGCGTTTTCCGTTCGACTCGTTACGCTCTCTTTTCCTTGTTACGCGGAAACGATGTTTTCACATTAATGGTGATACGTATATGTATATGTATATATATATATGTATATGTATATATATATATATATATATATATATATATTTATATATTTATGCAATAAATGATTGAAAACAAATATTGGCCGCCTCGTTCTTTGAGCTCTAGAGCAACGGAGCCGAAGCGCATAAACACCAGATGAAAAAATATTTATGCGAGCATCGTTTGTTTTGGTAATTGCCTGTCTCCCGTGGTCAGCTGCATTTCGTGTTTACGAGGATCGAGCGGCCGTACGTAAACGTACCGGACCAACGAGCCGTTTTCCCAACGTTTCTCCTGTGAAATACCTTCCCGTTACCGACGGTAGAAACGTCCGTGCATTCCGCAGCAAATCGCCCGTGCACCAGCGAGATCGTGCCGTTTCCAGCGTCGAACGCAAAAAGACACCGTGCAGTCGAGCGAACAGGTGCGCTGTCCAAGATGGCCTTTTTACAGAAACGAGGACACCACGCGTTTCACCGTGTGTTCCGTAAATGCTACGGTAACGAGACCGCTGCTGCAAGTTTTCTGGTAACGTATATACGAGTGACCGACCGACCACGTTCGTGCAGCACCCCAAAGGAAATCCGTCGATGCCATAAAGAAATTTCATGCGTGTGTCTACGTCAGGAACGATTAGTTGCAGATAAAGAAAGAGAGAAATGGAGAGAGAGAGAGAGAGAGAGCCGGCTCTCGCGGGAACGTATCGTCACGGAACAGAAAGTTGCCGTTCCTTTCCAGCCACGATCGACCGTATTATCAGAAAATAAATAATGTTGCGCACGCTCGTTGAGGGCGGGTTGACGTTCGTAGTACGCGGCTAGTCGGACGGGCGGTTAGGGTAAATTGGGTGGTTGGGGTGGTTCGAGCGTTCGGGTGGCGCTCACTCGGCCAGCAGGAATCGCGAAGGAGATTCAGTGGCGTCTAGGCAGCGACCGGGGTGCAATCTGTTCGCGTCTCGCTCGCGCGTCGCCGTTCCACGTTGCCCGAAACGCTCGGCCGCTCGCAGCATCGACCGAAGATCGTTCGCCGCTGCTCCCTCGGTGAGTCGTCTCCACACCTTAAACAATTCATTTTCATCGAGAATCTCGCCGGGACCGTTCGAATTGTTCGCGCCGATCGTTCCCGAAGCGACGCGCGTATTTACGATCGCACGCGGAATCAATCGTTCCCGACGCCTGAACGACTCGCGCCCGTCCCCGAGCCCTCAACTGTTGCTCCGGGCGAGGATGTTGTTCCGCGATCGAGGAATCGGACGTTCTGTTACGGCTTTCGCGGTCTCGTTCTCGGTGCAGTCGCTCGATTCCAGCCGATCAAGCGCGAGGATAATTGAAATTTCGAAGCGGAACAGGCGAATAGGGAGGCTCGATCGTCGCGTCGACGAGGGCATAACTGTGTTATTAGGGGACAGAGGTGGAGGTGTTTCGCTGCGAGGGCGAGCCGCGTATGCGCCCTCCGAAAGAAATCGGTTGGCTTCGATTCGGCGGGTTTATCGCGATATCGACGGCTCGAAAGCTATGCGACTTCTCGGCTCTTAAGGTGAAACACGTTTTTGCGGAGAAGACGTTCGTTCCTTTCGTCGCGAGAATCCGCGGCCTTCCGAGATATTGCATTTCCCCTCGTAAATAACTCGTTTCGAGGAGAGCAGCCGCTTCTCCGGCGATCCTCGGCGGTCGCCATCCTCTTCGTTTTCATCTTCACCCTTCGTCCCCGTCCCTCGCAGCAAGTCACCCTCTCCTCCTCCGATTCGCGTATTATTTAACACGGCCCCGCTCGCGTCCTCCCTTTCGAGTCCTGAAACTTTCTCTTCCGAATCCGGCGATACGATTACGCGGCGGATTTGCATCTCTGCCCCATATTCGCGCGTGTCCCCCCTCGTTAACGAGACGCATGAAAGGGACCGTTAACGGATCGAGCGTCATTCCGACCGCCTACCTTCTTCTCGCTTGCCCTTTCTCTCCCCTGAAAGAAAGTAACGTCCGCCGACGCTACTTCGGTTGAAAGGAGAGCCGTTAATAGAACGCTTTTTCCGATTAATGCCGCGGACGCGTTTCCCGAAAACTTTCGAAGCTCAAAGGCCGTGGAATCGAGGGAATAAAGCGAGTCACGCCGTTCGCCGGAACTGCTTGCGACTCGAAAGGCCACTACTACGCGATCGTCGCCTTTTTTTTAACAGCCACCGGATTGATTCAGTTGTCGCTTCTCGGGTCGAGTCGCCGCCGATCGAGACCGTACGTGTCCCTCGGCTTTTGGCGCTTACACGGAACCGTGTTTGTGCATTAATGTATTGTTTATCCGGGACCTTATTCTCGAGAACGTCAACAGTAAGCCCGTTCTTCGCGTCAAAATTTGGCACAGTTTTCGAGTGTGCGGATGAAACGTCGTATGCCACGAGTTCGGCACTCGAAATTAATCTGTTCGTAGGTCGTATTCATCTCTTTATTGCATTAAAAATTCCTACTGGACTTTTTGAACTTCGAATTGATCCTTCTGTAGATCATGGTCAGTTTTTTCCAGTGAAAAATTAACCATTTTGGAAATCGTATTCACATCTTTGCTAACAAAATTTACCCTTCTGGATATTGAACTCGCTTCTAATAATAATAACAATAATAATAATAATAATAATAATAATAATAATTATATAATTCTAATAATAATTTGTAACAAATTCATGCAAAATTGAAAAAAGATGAATAACCTTGTTTAAATAAGTATCGAAGATTAATGGAGATTGATTATTCGTAATGGTATATTATTTTATACTAAGTATATAAATTCATATTAAATTTAAAAACTGATTAAAAGACGGCCAATATTGATCTGCAATCCGTAATTTGATATAGAAAATGACTGAATGAAACCTGCGAAAGGATTAATTTGTTGTGCGAAAAGGTCGCCCGATACGATCTACAGAACGATTAATTTGGAGTGCGGAAAGCTGGATATGATCCACAAAAGGATTAATTTGTTTTGTAAAAAGGTGAACATGATCTACGAAAGGCTTAATTTGGAACGCAGAGCCTCTCTGAGCGGATCGTTTTATTAAGTCTAAACAACGTGAATAATTTCCGTTAAAACTCGTCTTACCTCCGCCATAAGTTTACATTCTCAAAGAAGGAATTTACGGAGTTAATCCTTGTACGTAAATTGAGTCTGTCCGACCCATAATGGGGGGCTACAAACTTTTTCATATGTTCAAATGTACGGTGAATATTAATAATTGTTGCACAAGTAGAAGTAATTTATGATTTATTTCGTAATTATTTGCATTTGGACGCTTCAGGCAACATAACAAAACTGCTGATAATTATGGTACTTTTAATGTCAACAATTTTTGTTTTATAATATCTGTATCGATGCAATATTCGATAAAATTTATTTGTTTCCAACGTTCTACGATTGTACGTTTACGTCGAAGTGTTACTTACTTATTTTGCGAATAAATATTATATGTTTCTGTTCTTGGTAAATGATTCGAAAAAGGTCTCCCTGACCGTATATACGGAATTTATGGGTCAAATTGGCCCAATGAGATTGTACCGTGTGTCTTTGCAATTTTAATGAATCTCCATTTTATTTCGATGTCGTTGGGGTGCGATAAGGAACGAAGTTGTTTGGACAGATATATCTATACTACAGCGCTTGTTTACCATTTGCTACAAGTCTGCACGTTCAGTGCAAGTTCCGCGACAACTACTGAGAAGCTCGTTACGCGAAGATATTTATATTGAAATTATATTATATATTATATATATTTGTATCAATATATTATATATATATGTATAATATATATATGTTTACATATATTTATATTAATATATTATATATTTATACAATTTTATAACATATGTATACGTACGTAATATATATTATATAAAATATAATAAATTATTATATAATATTATTATTATAATATAATATATATATAATATAATTATTATTATTATATTATATAATATATAATAGATTATATATAATATAATATATTATATATATATAATATATTTATTTATATACATAATATATATTTCTAAAGTATATATCTTATTAATTTATTAAATTAATAAGATGGTACGATAAATAATTAACCCTTGCACGAAGTTTGTATACCGTTGTGAATAAGTAATATTGGGTCAAATTGACCCAGTGCGGGAAATAAGATAAGTTCTAACAGTTAAACGAACCGACTTATTTCTCGCACTGAGTCAATTTGACCCAATATTACTTATTCACAACAGTATACAAACTTCGTGCAAGGGTTAATTATTTATCGTACCATCTTATTAATTTAATAAATTAATAAGATATATACTTTAGAAATAGATTTTATGTATATAAATAAATATATTATATATATATAATATATTATATTATATATAATCTATTATATATTATATAATATAATAATAATAATTATATTATATATATATTATATTATAATAATAATATTATATAATAATTTATTATATTTTATATAATATATATTACGTACGTATACATATGTTATAAAATTGTATAAATATATAATATATTAATATAAATATATGTAAACATATATATATTATACATATATATATA